CGCGAAGTGCCTGTTCATATCCTTTGCCCATTTTTTAATTGGGTTATTTGTCTTTTTGTTGTTGAGGTTTTGCAGTATCTTGTAGATTTGAGAGATTAGATGCTGATTGGATTTGTCATAGCCAAAAATTTTTTCCCAGTCTGTAGGTTGTCTTTTGAGTCTTTTGGTGAAGTCTTTTGATGAGCGTAAGTGTTTGATTTTTTAGGAGCTCCCAGTGATCTAGTCTTTCTTCTTGTGCTTGTGCGTTGTTACTCATGGTTCGTATTGTGTTTATGCCATGTATTAGGGCTCCTAACGTTGTCCTATTTTTTCTTCCATGATCTTTATCGATTTTGATTTTATATTTAAGTCTTTGATCCATTTTGAGTTCGTTTTTGTGCATGGTGTGAGGTATGGGTCTTGTTTCAGTTTTTTGCAGATGGATACCCAGTTATGCCAGCACCGTTTGTTAAAGAGACTGTTTTTTCCCCAATTAACAGACTTTGGGTCTTTGTCAAATATCAGCTGCTCACAGGTGGATGAATTTATGTCTGGATTCTCGATTCTGTTCCGTTGGTCTATGTATCTGTTGTTGTACCAGTACCAGGCTGTTTTGACTACCTAGGTGGTATAATAGGTTCTAAAATCAGGTAGCATAAGGCCTCCCACTTTGTTCTTCTTCTTGAGTAATGCTTTCTTTATCTGGGGCCTCTTCCATTTCCGTATGAAGTTGGTGATTTGTTTCTCCATCTCATTAAAAAATGCTGGTGGAATTTGGATCGGGACTGCATTGTGTCTGTAGATCGCTTTGGGTAGAACTGACATTTTCACAACGTTGAGTCTACCTATCCATGAGCAAGGTATGTTTTTCCACTTACGCAAGTCTCTTTTGGTTTCTTGCAGTAGTGTCTTGTAGTTTTCATTGTATAGGTCTTTTACGTCTCTGGTTAGATTTATCCCTAAGTATTTTATCTTCTTGGGGGCTATTGTAAATGGTATTGATTTGGTGATTTCCTCTTCGAGGTTCTCCAGGGCTGTAAATCGTTATGGAAGCAGACTGCCATGTCTTTTTCTCATGGAGCAGCTGATAGGTTTGAATTGCTGACCTTTCAGTTAGCAGCCGATCTCTTAACCACTTTGCCACCACTGCTTAGCTGATGAAGATCATACAACTACTTAGTTGCAGAGGGCTGAATTTTACTTGCATGGGATATTAATGATGTTGTTCAATAATTTCCGCATTCTGTTGGATCACCTTTCTTTGGAATGGGCACAAATATGGATGTCTTCCAGTCAGTTGCCAGGTAGCTGTCTTCCAAATTTCTTGGCATAGACGAGTGAGCTTCTAGCATTGCATCTATTTGTTGAAACATCTCAGTTGGTATTCTGTCAATTCCTGGAGACTTGTTTTTTGCCAATGCCTTCAGTGCAGCTTGGACCTCTTCCTTCAGTACCATCGGTTCCTGATCATATGCTACCTCCTGAAATGGTTGAATGTCAGCCAATTCTTTTTGGTACAGTGACTCTGTGTATTTATTCCATCTTCTTTTGATGCTTCTTGGAAGCTAATATTACCATTACTTTATTATTACCTCACATTACTTTGGACATGTTATCAAGAGGGACCAGTCCCCGGATAAGGACATCATGCTTGGTGAAGTAGAGGGTAATCAAAAAAGAGGAAGACTCTCAAAGAGATGGATTGACACAGTGGCTGCAACAGTGGGTTCAAACATAGCGATGACTGAGAGGATAACGCAGGACCAGGAAACATTTTGTTCTGTTATAAGGTTGCTATGAGCCCTGGTGGCACAGTCATTAAGCGCTCGGCTGCTAACCAAACAGTCAGTGGTTCAAATCCACCAGCCACTCTGTGGGAGAAAGATATGGCAGTCTGCTTCCATAAAGATTTACAGCCTTGGAAACCCTGTAGGGCCGTTCTGCTCTGTCCTATAGGGTTGTTATGAGTCAGAATCAACCTGATGGCAATGGGTTTTTATGAATCTGAACTGACTCTACTGGCACCTAACAACAGCAATATTACCATGATAAGAAAACCAGATAAAGATAGTATCAAAACAAACAAAAACTACAGACTTCTCAAAAGAAACTATGTATTTCTACAAAACTACAGAAGAAAACTACGTATGTCTCATGAATATAAACACAAAAATTTGTAACAAAATATTAGGAAATAGAATTCAGCAATATATGAAAAGAATTATATACCATAACCAAGTGAGGTTTATTTCAGGGATACAAGGTTTAATATTCAGAAATCAATTCATGTAATCCATGATATTAACACGCGTGACCCAAGCCATGGTGTTTTCAGTTGCCTCATATGCATGGCCAGTGAATAAGGAAGACCGAAGAAGAGTTGACGCCTTTGAGTTATGGTGATGGCAAAGAATGTTGAATATACTATGGATTGCCAAAAGAACAAACAAATCTGTCCTGGAAGAAGTACTGCCAGAATGCTTCTTAAAAGGAAGGATGGTGAGACTTTGTCTCCCATACTTTGGGCATGTTCTCAGGAGAGACCAGTCCCTGGAGAAGGACATCATGCTTGATAAAGTAGAGGGTCAGTGAAAAAGAGGAAGACCCTCAATGAGGTGGATTGACAAAGTGGCTACAACAGTGGGCTCAAATATAGTAACAATTGTGAGGATGGCACAGGACCAGGCAGTGTTTTGTTCTGTTGTATGTAGGGTCAGTATGAGTTGGAACCGACTCGACGGCACCTAACAACATGATATTAACAAGCTAAAAAAGAAAAATCACATGATCTCATCAGGTGATGCAAAAAAAGTATTTGATAAAATTCAACACCCATTCCTGATTAAAACCCCTCAGAAAAATAGGAGTCGAGGGGAATCCCTTCAACTTGATAAAGAGCATCTACAAAAAAACTACAACTAATATTATACTTAATGATGACGTTTTTTCCCTAAAATCTGGAACAAATCAAGGATGTCCATTCTGACCACTTTTATCCAACATAGTTCTGGAAGTTGTGAACAATGAAATAAGGCAAGAAAATGAAATAAAAGGTGTACAAATTGAAAAGGAAGAAACAAAATGTCTGTATTTTCAGATGACATGATCGTCTATGTAGGAAATGCCAATGAATCTACCAAAAAAAACCTCCTAGAACTAATAAGTGAGTTTGGCAAGGTTGCAGGATACAAGATAAACATATGAAAATAAATTTTTTTTTTTATCCTAGTGTGATGCACTCATAGGTCGTTCACTAATAGTGATCCATCTGTAAATATCATGTCTCTTTGATCAGAGGTCAGAGCCCCGATATACAAGTGCTCCCAGAACTTTAGCACATGGAAAGTAGATAGCAAACAACAACTAGAAATCAGTATTGACTCTTAAATAAGTTTCATGATGGAAGGTCAGCATTTACTCTTACATTGCTGGGCAGGCACGCCTTAGGTGTCAGCAGGTGCGCGGCAGTTTAGGTGCTGGGTTCACGTGCCAGCTCCGGTCAGGTGCAGCGTGGCTGTGCTTGCTCTCTGTTTCTCCACAGCTCCCCTTGGCTGGCTCTGTCCTGTCACTGACTGGTCCAGTTCTCATCCAGCAGCCTTGGGACAGCCCTGGGCTGGCATCACGACTCCTCCCAAAGCAGAACTGCTCTGAGGGCAGCCTTTACACAGGGTGCACCCAGGCTTGGTACTGAGGCTTAGTCAGCATCGGGCCCCTAGGTGATCCCTCTTAGTCGAGTCGGCCCGCGCTCATCGGCCTCAGGTGTGGTCCTACTCGCAGAACCGGAACCAAAAGGCCAAACTGTCCATTGCAGAGGGATTCTATACCTGCAGCTAGCAATGGGCTGGGGACACAGTACCACTTACAGTCTCTCGGAAAATGAAATAGGCGCAAATCTAGCAAAACATTTATAGGATTTATATGTTAAAAACTGCAGAATGATGATAAAAGAAATCAATGATCTAAATAAATGGAAAGACGTTGAAAAATAAAAAATAGTGACAAGAGCAAATTCTGGTAAGGATGTGGAGAAAGTAGATCACTCATACACTGGTGGGGCAATGTAAGATGGTATGGCCACTCTGGAAAACAATCTGACAGTTTCTTTAAAAACTAAGCCTGTAAATGTTATACAGCCCAACAATTGCACTTCTGGGCGTTTATCCCGGAAAAATTAAGACTTATATTCATTTACACAAAAACTGATACATAGATATTTATAGCAGCTTTATTTGTAATAGCCAAAAATTGGAAACAACTGAGCATCCTTCAGCAGGTGACTGGTTAAACTGTGGTACATCCATACCATGGATACTACTTAGCAATAAAAAGCAAGGAACAAACTATTAATACAACCAACAGCCTGGATGAATCTCCAAAGAATTAGGCTGAATGGAAAAAAGCCAATCCCAAAAGGTTACATACGTATGACTCCATTTATATAACACCCTTGAAATGACAAAATTATAGAAATAAAGGACAGATGAGTGGTTGCCAGGGTTAAGGACGAGGTAGGAGTGACAGGGAAGTGGGAGTGGCTATAAAAGAGTGACATGAGGGTTCCTTTGGTGATGGAGTGGTCTGTGTCTTGGCGGGATCAATGTCAGTATCCTGGTTGTGATGTGGACTATCACTTTGTAAGATGTTACCAAGGGAAACTGGGTAAAGGGTGTACCAGGCTCTCTGTATTATTACAACTGCATATGAATCTACACGTATCTCAAAAAGTTTAACTAAAAAGAAAATTTTAAACCCGCACACAAACCCAGGAGCCGTCTACATTGAGACACAGCAATAGCTGCATTCAGTCTCATGCTGAATAAAGCGGGATGAATGGCTGCCAGTTTTTCCACTGCTGGCTTCAGGACAGTAGAAGAAATGATTGACGGTCTGCAAGGATACCACTTTATAGAGACACTGCCTCGGTTTTCTTCCTCTGCTCCAGCTTCCGCCAGGTCTCTCTCATTATTTGATTTCTTCTGCCTGCTAATGGGGTGAGCAGAATTATAGGATGCTTCAAAGTGAGGCCTGTATATGGGGGCAAATTCAAGTTTTGGTGAAGTTCCAGCCATTTCACACTGAACCTTTTCATGCAAAAGCTCTACATTGTCAGGTGACAGATATGAGGAACTTTGTCAGCTTCTTCAAATAAAAATAAAACCAAATTCTGTGTATGAAATTCTCTTTTCTTTGACAGTTTCAGTCTAAGCTAGGCCTGATGCAAGTAAAGATAAGGTGCCCATAATAAAAATGTCAGGACGTGTACATGTGTTTGTATGTGTTTAATTCTCGCTGATAGACAGCTGTGTTTGATTTTATGGAATGACTAATACGTGTCATATGACTGTGCTTAGTTGCGTCCCGGGTCACCCCACACTGGTTCAAGGCAGTGTTTTATAACCTTCCCCCCTACTCTTATTGCCCCATTAAGGAGCCTTTTTTTCTTGGACGTTTTATTCATTGCCCCTGTCAGATATACTGTGTATCTGTTTCTGTATTGTATATATTTTTGCTTTATACATAAAAAGACTAAAAATTTTTTACCCCCCCCGAACAAATTTTTTTTTTTCCCCCTTGAGGGATGTATCACCCTCTTTGGGAATGCGTGGTTTAAGATGAAGTAATGTTTTCATAGAATAATTTTTCTTAAAAAATTTCAAAGTAATAGGAAAGAAGTAGAAGTTGTTTTTCTTTTCTTTTGAACTCTGCGTTCATGACTCCTTGAAGTCATGTGTTCCAGGATAATAAGCCAGGCTCTGAGGTGTGATAATTCTCAAAAGAGCATCAAGTAAAAGCTGGGGGAATGGAGTGAGGTAGGAGCAGGCACACAGCACACCAAAGACACCAGTTTTTAGTCCTTCAGATGTGCCCGCTGTAGTATTGTGCATCGTATTATTTTGTGCAAAAACTACAACAGGATACATAGGTAATTTTTTCCAGTTTAAATTTGAAGCTATTTCTTTAAACATTTAATTGTTACGGAGCAAAGGGGAATTCATAAGACTGCCAATTTGAGATGGCGTTCCGTCTCAATTTTTTAGTGAAGATTAATTTTTTGCATCAGTTTTTTTCATTACTAGCTAATAAGTTCTATTTTAGTCTCTTCTAAAATGTAAAAGATTTTTTGATACATCAATTTTAAGATTCTGAAATAGAATGTAAAAAGAAAAGATTTCATTTAAACAACTTTATGAAAGATGAATTGTAATACAGTTTTTCAGCTATACTAATTCTTGATTGCTCAGCCTGGTATTCTACACTTGTGGTCAATAAACATTTGAATAAGTGAGGGACTGGGAGACTATCATTTTTCTAGGATGTCTTTTAATAAGTTTGGTGCTTTGATTATTTAGGTGGCCGTCAGACCCAAGAGCAGAGGACTCAGAGAAATGCAGTAAGTGTACCTGGAGAGAAACGCACTGAAAATGGGGTGAGTAATAGTGAATTAAATTGAATCTTTTAAGTTGCTTTTTACAGGTATTAATGAGTTCGAGTTATCACTTATTTTTAAATAATTATTTTTTGGGTCTAGAAACGGTCACTTCTGTTGCATATTTGGAAGCATTTTACGACCTTAAATAGACACAGTCATGGGTAGTTTCACCCGTCAACACCTGTGGTCCGTGCTCTGGAGAGAGTCTCAGACAGGCCTTCAGGTCTGCCTTTCCATGTCATGCCCACTGAATGTCCTGGAGCAGGTGGCCCTGCATCTCTGCACACGCAGCAGTGGCGCTTCCCCGTGGGTGTGGATGAGTCAGTCTCTAGACTAAGAGTCGAGAACCAGACTTGCTTTGCATCTTTAAGTGTTGATGTCTTGATCCTTCTGTCAGGTTTTGAAAGACAAAATGAATGGTGAGTTAAAGTCTTCTCGACAGTTGACTACAGGAGAAATAACTTCCTTTATCACTGTTGTGTAGAGAGTTGGAGACTAGGCTAAACATTGATTATAGGCGAGGAAGTATGTTGAAGTAGAGGGGTTCTTTGTCAGAAATGTTGGTGTGTATTAAAAGAATGAGCAGATAGGGAAATTTTCACCATGGTCTCTTCTGGAAGTTTTAGAATAACTTTTCCAAATCACTTTAAGACTAGAGAATTAGCTGGTTTCTTTTTCTGTCTTTCCACTAACTAGGTATGTAACCTCGGGCAAGTTAACTCTAGCGCGGTGCTTGGCCCAGTGATGTACTGGTAAAGAACGAGAGCCTGGAGTGTGAAGGACCCATATGCAGACACTACCTTCAGACATTTTTATCTAGCTAAATTTGAGCAAGTTACTTCTCTTCTCTACTTCCCAACTTTTTTGATTATTGAATTGCTGTTTTAGTTATCTTATTGGCTGCTTTTGTGACTTTAAATGATAAATCTGTATTTCTTTGTACTGTCAACTTTCAACGGTGTCCCTGGACTTCCCTCTTTAGCAGAGGAGGAGATTAGTCCCCCTACCCTTTTCTCTGTCTCCCCTTCCCTCCTCCTTCCAGCTCCTTCAGCTATTTAAAAGAAAAAAAAGAAACCAAACCAGCTGCTGTGGAGTTGATTCCAACTCAGAGCAACCCCAGGTGTTTCAGAGTAGAACTGCACTCCATAGAGTTTTCAATGGCTTTGATCTTTTGGAAGTCGATTGCCAGGCCTTTATTCCAAGGTACTTCTGGCTAGATTTGAACCACCAACCTTTCACTTAGTAGCCAAGCACTTAACCGTTTGTGCAACATAAGGACTTCCCTTCGGCTGTATCATACTTTTACATTGTCAGGGTTGATAACTTTTGTGCTCTGTTATCTTGGACTATAATTAAAGCTTTTACGCTTTGTCTATAGATTGGTCATAAAGTTGAAAACAATTTAATAGTGTTTATTATTTTAGATTATGCAGATATTATCCACTGCAGATGGAAGTGGTATATTAGGTTAGTATTTTCTTCTCGTTCCAATGTCATAATCTTTGTGCAACTCAGGGAAATATTCCTAATGTCAAGATTAGGGATTTTCCTTCCTTACACTGCAGTTTCTAAAAATCATTTCACAAATCCTCTTCTCACCCCTGCTTTCTGTCAGACTTACCCACTCCAAATCTAAAGCCCCTATGGGATTCTGCCAGGCATATCTGCTTCAGGAGGTCTTAAGAAATAGAGGCACAGACCCCCTTGGTAGTAATGTTGCTTCAGTAGGTCTGGGGTGGGGCCTAGAAAGCTCCCTAGGCCAGGTCGGGAGCCTCCAGTTCAGATGCTCACAGCGCCTGTCACACACTATAGTAAGCATTCAGAACTTACTTGTCCAGCAGAATTTTGAAGATCTGTTTGAGTTCTAAGATTTGCCATGACCTGAACTTCAGGGAAGTTGACGTAAATAAATTGAGTAGAGTGTGTAGAGGTGGGGTGCATGTGTATGTTATGTAGGAAGGGGCTCAGAAAGAAAGGATTCCAGTGGTGTAATAAAGTGGATATTCTAGTTTTGATGTGGTAGGTCTGTAATCTTTTCTTCCCTGATGAAGTTGTTTCTTGTTAACATGGATAATATATGCATTTCAAGATCAACAAAACTGAAACCTGAAACAAAAATAATAAAGAATGTGTTTGTAGCCTTTATGTGAGCTTATAATTAGAGGAAGGTATAATTAGAGGAAGCTATAATTAGAGGAAGGTATAATTAGAGGAAGGTGTACTTGCTGATGTCAGATGGATCTTGGCTGAAAGCAGAGAATACCAGAAAGATGTTTACCTGTGTTTTACGACTATGCAAAGGCATTCGACTGTGTGGCTCATAACAAATTATGGATAACACTGCGAAGAATGGGAATTCCAGAACACTTAATTGTGCTCATGAGGAACCTGTACATTGACCAAGAGGCAGTTGTTTGAACAGAACAAGGAGATATTGCATAGTTTAAAATTAGGAAAGGTTTGCATCAGAGTTATATCCTTTCACCATATTTATTCAGTCTGTATGCTGAGCAAATAATACGAGAAGCCAGACTATATGAAGAAGAACGGGGCATCAGGATTGGAGGAAGACTCATTAACAACCTGCATTATGCAGACGACACAACCTTGCTTCCTGAAAGGAAAGAGGACTTGAAGCACTTACTGATGAAGATCCAAGACTACAGCCTTCAGTATGGATTACACCTCAACATAAAGACAACAAAAATCCTCACACCTGGACCAATAAACAACATCATGATAAACAGAGAAAAGATTGAAGTTGTCAAGGATTTCATTTTACTTGGATCCACAGTCAATGCCCATGGAAGCAGCAGTCAGGAAGTCAAGTGCTATACTACATTGGGAAAATCTGCTGCAAAAGACCTCGTTAAAGTGCTAAAAAGCAAAGATATTACTTTGAGGACTAAGGTGTGCCAGACCCAAGCCATGGTATTTTCAGTCACCTCGTATGCATGCAAAAGCTGGACAATGAATACGGAAGACCAAAGAAGAATTGATGCCTTTGAATTATAGTGTTGGAAGAATACTGAATATACCATGGACTGCCAAAAGAACGAACAAATCTGTCTTGGAAGGAGTACAGCCAGAATGCTCTCCTTAGAAGTGAGGATGGCGAGACTTCACCTCACATACTTTGGACATGTTATCAGGAGGGACCAGTCCCTGGAGAAGGACATCACGCTTGGTAAAGTAGAGGGTCAGCAAAAAAGAGGCAGACCCTCAATGAGATGGATTGACACAGTGGCTGCAACAATGGGCTCAAACACAGCAACGATTGTGAGGATGGCACAGGACCAGGCAGTGTTTCCTTCTGTTGTGTAGAAGGTCTCTGTGAGTCGGAACTGACTTAACAGTAGCACATAACAACAACAACAGCATAATTAGTCTAGAGGTATAACTGTACTAGAAGCATTACATCAAAGATATTACTATATTTAATGGCATACACACCTGCCTTTTAAGTCTAATAATGCATGATGTTTGTAAAGCACTTTAATTGTCTACAAAGCACATTTACATGCATTTTTAAAGTTAATAAGATGTTAAAAAATCTTACCCCAAAAATGTTTTGGTGTATATCGGGCCGTAGAATAATGGCCACAGTGAGCCTTGTGGGCTGCAGCAGCTAGGAATAGACAAGGCGGCACTTGTGAGGGAAGGAGGTAGTATGGGTTGGAAGAGAAAGGCGGGATGCTGACATAGTGTGATTCATGCCTTTTAGCGGCTGCTGAGCTAGGAGGCTGGGGAAATTCTGCTCTCTGAAAATTGCAGGTCAGCAAGTCAGGTTAATCCATATGCTGGTTTGACTTTATGCTATAAAGACAAATTGATTTATTCTTACAGTATACATCTATGTCAGGGGTCCCAAGACCGCCCTTAAGGTCAGTCATTGGTTGGGAGGACTCACAGGACTCAGCATATAGTTGTACTCACAGCTATGATTTATTACAGAAAAAGGACACAAAGCAAACTCAGCAAAGGGAAAAGGCACAAGGGGCAATGTCTGGAGGAGACCAGGTGCAAGCTTCCAGAGTCCTGTCCTGGTGGAGTCACACAGCGCAGGCTTACTTCCTCCAGCAACAAGTTCTGACACACCTGTCAAGTGTTGTCTGCCAGGGAAGCTCTTAGAGACTCGGTGCCCAGGGATTTATTGGGGGCTGGACGTGTGGGCACCTCTGCCTAGCAACTACCAAAATTCCAGACTCCCAGAAGGAGAACAGGGGTTCAGCATAAACCACATTGTTTGCACAGGTTAGGCACAGGGAGTCACTCTTATCAGTTAGAGAAGGTGGGAACCTTCCTGAAATCTAAGTTCCCAGAGAGCAGCCAAGCAGGCCTTGCAAGCAGGCCTTTCTAAGGCGAGCTGTCAGGCCTGGTGGGGACTGTCTTCTGCATGGCGCCATTCCACTTGGGTCCTGGAAACACTTTTTCCTGTTTTCTCAGCCAACTAAGGCTTACAGTCTGAGTCCATTTCTGTTTTATTCCTGAACATGCAGTAAATTGTCAAGGCCTGTTGATCCTGCCCCATATGTTGTAGCTCTTACATTTAGGTCTGTGATCCGTTTTGTGTTCATTTTTGTGTATGGTGTAAGGTAAGAATCCAGATTCATTCTTTTGCATGTGACTGTCCAGTTGTCCCCACACCATTTGTTAGAAAGACTTTTCTTTCCCAACTGAATTATCTCAATACCTTTGTGGAAAATCAATTGACCATAAATGTAAGGGTGTATTTCTGGAAGCATTTATTATTAACATGGTCCCTCAGTACCTCTCTTTGCCATATGCTACCCAGGACTTAACTGTGCCTGTCACCTCCCAGGCCAGATCACGTTGCATTTGTCTAGAGAATAAACTTCCAGACTTGTGCCAGGGTAGGAGAGAGGCCATCACCTGGTGGCATGGAGTTGGGGAGGAGATGGAGGGACTTACCTGCTTCTCTCAGTCTGCCTTATTTCAGGTGCCCCACATTTCATTCCCCTCTCCAGAAGTACATG